CAACCTTATACAGCCTCCATCGCCCCTTTATGCTCCCAAAAACCCTCTATAGAAAACCCTAGCCGTTGTTGAAGCAATCTAAGCCATTTTGGTGGATTTTGGTGTTGATGGTCTTAAGAAGGAAGGAGAAAGGCTTGAGGAAACAAGAGGAGACCAGAAGGGTTCGAGTTTGTGCTTCATCTTCAGCAATCAGAACGTATAAAGTTGCTAACTTGCTTGTTCATTTGCTAGATCCCATTTTGTGGAGATTTAAGGCTTTTTTTAGCCATTTTAGGTAGCCAAGCATGAATGCAAGTGTGGTTGGGGACAAGGCTTCGGATCTAGGTCCTTAAAGGGCTCACAAGGCAGAAAGTGGGTGCTTTTACGCCCAAGAAAGACTCCATGCAACCCAAGAGCTTGTTGTAGGACCTTTTGGACTCAAAGTCCCATGTATGCACGTAAAGTTTGTAACTTTACGTGCTAGAACGATTGTAGGAGCCCAGATCTACCTTTTGGTCAAGTGTTGTACCTCAGAAATCGAGGATTTAGTGTGTGGATGTCATCGACTCGGCGAGTCCGTTCTTGGGACTCGACGAGTCCAAGGCTTTGAGTCCCATATCTGTTGAGGGTCAAAAGGACTCAGTTGGGTGTTAGAAGGGTTGTAACAAGACAGAAAGAGTGACCCAACACATTGGACTTAATTTTAGACCTGGAGTTCATGGGACTCGACGAGTGCTAGAACAGACTCGGCGAGTCCAAGGCAATCTTCTTAAGGTTGAAGATGAACTCGACGAGTTGTTCATACAACTCAGCGAGTCAAGGTCAGGACTTGTTCATCAGTTGAAGGTGAACTCGACGAGTGTTCATCCGACTCGGCGAGTCGGATGAAGGTTCATTGATGTTCGTAAGGAAGGGGAACTCGTCGAGTCGTTGCCAAACTCGACGAGTCGAGTCGTGGATAAGGACGAGTAAAGGGAAGGGACTCGACGAGTTGACGGCCCAACTCGGCGAGTCGGGTCAACTGGAAGTTGACTTTGACTTGGACTTGGTTGGGGGTAAAATGGTCATTTTACCCTAAGAGTAGTTATCAGTTTCTAACTGAGTGTTTGTGGGGATTGTAGCCAGAGGATTTCCGGAGCAGCAGCGGACGGAGGTTTCCCGCACAGATTATCAGCAGCTTCTTGTACGAGGTGAGTTACCTTCCAGTAGGGGTGGGTCTAAGGCCACAATGCCGGCCCATCAAAGAGGAGTATTCGAAAGATGATTGTCTTTGTGATAATTATCTTGGTTTGGTTATGTGCTTTGGTCACGCGTATTATCTGCATGATATGTTACGTGTATTGTAGGGATTAGGTTCCCTGACAGCAGCCCTTAGGGCGGTAGGGTAGGTCAGTACCCGGATATGCCTGACTGCGTGTTTGTACCTTGCTGTTGTATGCTAGTGGTAGGGGGTGGAATAGTCCCCAGTTACTGGTTGAAAGATACCGACGATGGTTACCGGTTGAAAGATACCGATGATGATTACCGGTTGAAAGATACCGACGACGGTTACCGGTTGAAAGATACCGATGATGGTTACCGGTTGAAAGATACCGATGATGATTACCGGTTGAAAGATACCGACGAGGGTTACCAGTTGAAAGATACCGATGATGATTACCGGTTGAAAGATACCGATGATATTGCTTGGTATGTGGTATGATGGGGGAACTCACTAAGCTTTGTGCTTACGGTTCCGGTTTCGGTTTTGGTTTCAGGTACCTCTTCGTCTAAGGGGAAGGAGCCGGCGGCGTAGCATCGCATCACACACACGCATGATTTCCGCATGGAGTTTTCTGGGATTGTACTCTGAAATGTTATTACTTTATGACTTGGGTTTTCAGACATGATTCATTATTTATGAGATGATGTGTTTTCACAATATTTTCTTATGAATGTTTTTATAAGTCGGTTAATTAAAAAGAAATTTTTGGACTTGAAAATTGGGATGTTACATTGCAAACATATTTGGTACTTAGTAAGCTAATATTTGGTTAAATATAAAGATATTCTTGAATAAAAAGGAAAAAATGACAAAAGTTGGAACCTGGAAGGACTGGAGTTGAAGTGAGGAGCTTAAAAAAGCATAAAAGGAAGAAAACCCATGAAAATACACGTCCCACGATATGGCGTCAAAGTAGCGTGGTGTGGCGAAAGGAAAAATCTCTACGATATGCACAATAATGATGCTCATGACGTGAGAATTATAATCTCACGTCGTGAGGAGGATTCTTCCAGAAGATAGTTATGCAGAATGCAGTTTCCTTTCCAGACATGAATTATACGGTGCTCACGACCGAGACAGTAATGCTCACGATGTGAGATAAGCTTTATGGAATGTATAAATATCCTATGATATATTCAATTTTGGGGGGGTTGGATTGGATTTTTTGGACGGATAGTTGAAATTAGAGACCAAAGAAGAGTGAAATTCAACTATTGGAATAGGAGATCAATTGGAGATTAAGAGTTTGAAGACTACACATCACATTCGATTTGCATTGATTTAATTATGTCAAATTCTTATGTTTTTGTGTGCTTATTTTCTGCTATGAGTAGCTAATCATTAGACTTTCGTTTAGTGTTGATGAACCCTCATACTATGTGTTAGCTTCTTGATTTCTATAGATTTTATGAAGTTGGTTAAAGCTTGTGTTTGATTATCATAACCTAGCATGTTAAAGTTTTAGTATTTGTTGCTTTACTTCAAGTTAAGTGTAGTTTAATGACCATTTGAATTGCATGAACGTGATTACCTAGTAGTTTATGATCATTAAATTGCTAGAGCTAGGATTAATCACATCTTAAATTGTGAAGCGAAGATCCTAAAACCCAATTATGAACTTTTGATTTCAAAATATCAATTAAGTCAACTTCGTTAGACAAGGGTATTGAAATGAAATCATTCATTGGTTTAGAATCAACACTGACTTTCGCCTTTTTCTCCTCAATTCGTTTTTCATCAACTTTGACTTTAGACACAACTCTCCACTGTTGAACTGGCGGATTTGATTCTATTGAAGAAAAACTTCCTTTTGACGAAGCATTTAAGTAGCTCTCATAAGCATGCTTGATTTCGTCTTGTGAGAATTTTCCAGATTGATAAGCTTTCCCTTTACCATCCAGCCAATGATTGATATTCTTCACATTCGTTTTACCTTTGACAAACGAAGATTTTGTAGTATATTTCGAAGGAGGATTGGGAAAATTTGGTTGTTTGGGTTTGAATTCCACATTCGTCTTTGTATTTTCATTCACTTTAGCAGAATGTGTTTTTAAGAACATTGGTTTTGTTCGTGATTGGAAACGATTTTGAAACCTTTTATTATATACAACATTTTGTTGACGTAAAGCTTGTGGTGCATTCGAAAATGGTTTTTGACTTGGAACTTGATTAAAAGTCTTTTGGTCATTGAATTGAAAACCATTTCTTTAAAAATGTTGTTGTGAAAACATATTGTTTTGATGATTTGAAACAAACCTTTTTGGTGGATGAGATTTCACAAAATTCTCATTGTTTATCCTATGAAAATTTAGTTTTGAATTAAATTTCAAAACTCGTCGTTTACTTTTTGAGAAATCTCTTTGTGATTTATTGTTTGATAAAACTTTTTGTTATTGAGTGGGTGACTTCATAATAAGAGAGTTGTTTTGAGAAGATGTCTGAACTCGTTTAGACTCTTTCTTTTCAGACGATTTGGTTAATGAAATATTTTGTTTCTTTTGAGACTCAATATTTTGCCAATAAACCTTCTTTCTCGCTTGTCACTTTAAAATCCCATTTTCTTTTAAAATCTTTTCAACTTTCCTTTAAAATCTTTTCAACTCTTTCTTTTCAGACGATTTGGTTAATGAAATATTTTGTTTCTTTTGAGACTCAATATTTTGCCAATAAACCTTCTTTCTCGCTTGTCACTTTAAAATCCCATTTTCTTTTAAAATCTTTTCAACTTGCGTTTTGAAAATTTGATCATTTAATTTGAGTTTTTGAGAAACAACATCATTTGCTTGTTTTTCCACATTTGATTTTTCAGTTTTAACTACCCAAGTTCGTTGTGGTCATTGTCTTTGAAAAGTATATGAGTTCTTGGTGAGATTATTTTCGACTGTGCTTTTGTTTGAGAAAAATCCTTCTTTCGAAGCTTTCTTGTTATCCTCTTCAACCATTTTGTTGAACTCAGCTTTAACTTTATCACCATTCCCTATGGTAACAAACACCTGATTTGGAAAGATAACATCATCTGTGCATTTGAAGTTTGGATACACAACCGAATTTTACTCAAGATAGTGAGAACCTTTTTCTTTCATGACTTTGTCGAACTTCTCAGATTCGCCATAAACCTGATCTACCACAAATATGGGTATTGGTGTTTTCATAGAAACATCAACTTGCTCATCATCATCATCATCATCATTATCTGTCTGATTATCTTCAACAGTCACATGGTCAGGATTATTAACTTTCGAAGTAGCGGGTTGGTCAGTTTCAATTTTAACCGCAGAATCATTACGGATTTATTTACCCTTAGTCGTAGAAATGACATTAATGACAGATAACTTTGAACATTCAACAACCTCCTCCTCCTCAATTTCACTGATATTATCCGAATCATCTTCGATATCAGCAAAATTGTTTTGAGAGTTGGATGTCAAAGCCTTAGTTGTTTTCAAAATTTTGATTTTTTCGTTTTTGGACAAACTATCATTCACAATATCAACAAGATCATTCGCATCTAAGTATTCATCAATTTTCATTATTCAGTATGCATATGTATCATTTGGGAATTTATCGAACTCAGATATTGTCTTTTCACAGTCATAGGAAGTTGAGTCTATTTTCTCCCTTTCGAAAGCTAAAAAGGGCAAAAGCTTCCTATGTTGTTCTTTGCTAATGTCACACGAATGATGTAATGTAGTTAATTTTCCATACAACCTTTTAGCAATATTACAATAGATGTTTCTTTGTTTAATCAAAATACTTTTATCTGTTCTAAGGTTGTCTCTATCACACATTACATTCGTTAACTGTAAGTCTAAATGATCTATGTTAGACTTCTTCGACTCCAAACACCTTTGAGTTTCTAGTAGTTGAGTATTGAACTTTTTGGCATCACTACTAGCAGAAATAAGAAGATCATTAACGTAAGTAATAACTTCATCAAACTCAGATAACATTGAAATATATGCTCTAGAAGGAATATTAAAGGATTCTAAAAGAGAACGTACCTGTGAAGTCATGGGTGACTTGTGAGCAGTAGTCGAAACAAAGCAACTTCCTGTAACTTTCTCCTCTTCCTCTTCCTCGAAACTTGCAAACATCGCTCTGTGAGTGGGATTTCGCATCTCATCGTCATCTGATCCTGACGACCACACTTGATACGTCCCTTCCTCATCTGTCATCCCCTTCGCAACCAAGGACATTCCCTTCACCTTTGCTCTCACTTCTTTAAGCCTTTCTACGTAATAAATTTTGTCCTTCACTCTATTCATTTTCTCATCCCTCTTCTTAAGCATACAATCACTTGCCATGTGATTCACTCCATTACAGTAATGGCAGTGGAATCCTGAGTCACCTTTGAGCTTTTTCTCCACCTTCGCATCTTCAGATTTGACTTCTTCCTTCTCCACTTTCTTTTCCTCACTCACTGACTTTCCAGCAAAACTTCCTTTCACCTCATTTGCTTTTGACTTAGCATTAAATGGCTTTTTGAAGAATTTCTTCACTCGATTGTTCGAGTAAAAAGCCACTGCTTCGTCATCAGAATTGACGATTAATCCTTCATCACTTGAACCTTCTTTCTTAGTTGTCTTTTTCTCAACCTCCTTGCTTGCAACCTTCGACATCAACGCTAGAGGACCTCCCAAACTAATCCTTGATTCCTCAGCAATCTCATTAACTTCAATTTCATGTGTCTTCAACACATTGTACAGATCACTTAGAGAAAAGAAATCGAAGCTCTATTGAGTTTTTAACAACAAGATTATGTTTCGCCATTCCTTGCAAAGTCCCATGATGAAAGTCAGATTGAACTCCATTGTTGACCTGGTCACTCCATTTTTGTTGCACTTCTAGATTAATTCATTCAGACAGTCATAATAGAGCTCAATGGACTCTCCTTCCTTTTGCTTAAACTCTCCCAACTCCAACAAACATTGTTTAATTTAGCTAATTTTCGTCTTCTCACTGCCTTCGTATTTCTCCTTCAATGTATCCCAAATATCCTTTTCAGACTTGTTGCTATGCACATAATTGTACACAACAGGAGGAAGAGCACCACAGAGTTCACGCATACATTTCTTCTCATTTTGACCAGTTTTTCAGCTTGTTGAGCAACATTTGGATTATTAGCAGCAGTTCCAACATTTTGCATCGCAGTAGGAGAATGAGTTCCACCACTAATGCAATTATAGAGTTCCTCATCGATTCCATTCAAATAGTCCTCCATCTGATCAACCCATTGATCATAATACTCTGGAATCAAAATAGGAATCTTTATGGAAGAACCGAGAATATGAGAGTATGAAGTCATGGTGTTCATGTTAAAATGCACCATTGTTGTACGGAAGGATTTTGACAAAAGCTTCAAAAATTGAAATCTAATGTTTAAATCTTTCAAAAATCGAAAAACGAACACTAGTTTACACAAACAAAACGCAGAATCGAATCAATACAAATGATCTATTGCGATTTTTAGAATCAAAAGAGCGGAAAATTATGAATCCAGAACGAGACTCAAAAACTTTTGAAAATTTAAGAAAATCAGATCAAAGCTGAATGAATCCTGCTCTGACACCAAATGCAATTGTGATTTAATCGAGTATGTAATACGAGATCAGAGTTAAGAAAGAACTAAGAACACAAGATCTAAATACAAAGAAATATCAGAGAGTACAATTCGAATGCAAAAGCTCTTTTCTAACTGTAGTATTCATCCGATATATATAGGGATAAAGAAAGCGTACAAAAAATATAAAGGACTGAGACTATAAAGCTTTGATACAAAATGTTCTTATAATAAACAAACATACAAACACACTTCGACACTAACAACGACTCAGACAAACTTCGACATCTCACAACTACTTTCGACCTCAAGACTTTACAATTCATATATTCTGATGTGTGGGGTCATGTGCAATCCTCAATAGATCATTTCACATATTATGTCATTTTTTTGGACTACTTTTCCAAATACATGTGGCTTTACCCTATGAAACAAAAGTTTGATATTGCCACCATCTTTCGTCAATTTAATTTACTCGTTAAAAAATTCTTCAATACTCCCCTAGTCTCCATTTTCACTGATAATGGTGGGGAATATCAGGGTCTTCACCATTTTTTACAAGCTAATGGCATATCTCACTACACTACCCCACCTCACACCCCTGAGCATAATGATATAGTTGAACACCGTCACCTCCATATTGTCAAGATGGGTCTTGCCCTATTCCATTTTGCCAACCTTCGTCTCACCTACTGGACTCATGCTTTCCAAACTGCAGTCTATCTCATAAATCGTCTTCCCACACCCATTATCAATAAGCAAAGCCCCTTTCAATTTATTTTCATCAACCACCAAACTACAATAAGTTAAAATCATTTGGCTACCTTTGTTTTCTATGGCTTAGACCATACACTACCTCCATGCTTCAACCAAGGTCCCTCCCATGCATTTTTCTTGGCTATTCCACTTCCAAGTCTGCCTATAAATGCTTCGATCCAATCACCAGACGTCTCTATCTCTCTCGTCATCTTGAGTTTATAGAAACTAATTTCCCCTATCATGCCACCAAATCTCCTATCACCCACTGATTATACCTTTATTCATGTCCCATATTCATCCACCACTTCTTTCCTAATTCATACTTCATCCACTTTACAGTCATAAACATCTCATATGCATCCTACTTCTTTACCTTCTCCTGTATCCACTCAACATTTATCCAATGCTCCCCTTGTCCATCCTTCCCCAACGTCTCCCACTCGCCCCACTCAGACTAATAAGCCCACTATTAACCCATTTGTCACCATTCACAAATATCAACCTCCTCCTATCCAACTAGAGGACCTCACACCAACCTCTCCTACTCTTACTACACCCACTCCCACCACCTCTCCTACTGTATCTACCACCTCCATACCCACCCCTCACTACTTCCGCCAAGAACTAGAAAACAAAATAAAAAAATATTTCAATCCCTCATTCATAAACTCCACCACAATTCATCTTATTCCCCCCACTCTTGAACCCCATACCTATAAGCAAACTCTTAAAGACCAAAACTGGAGACAAGCCATGAACAGGAATTTAATGCCCTCATGCAAAATGGAACTTGGGAACAAGTTCCTAAAGCTTATCACAACCACATTGGTTGTAAATTGGTCTTCTGGATCAAATGAAATCCAGATGGAACCATCTCTAAATACAAATATCGTTTGGTTGCTAAAGGATTCCTTCAACAATATGGACAAGACAACTTTGATACCTTCAGTCCATTCACCAAACCGATAACCATACTTATCATTCTATCTATTTCCCTTTCACAAAATTGGCCACTAGGCCAACTTGATTTTAATTATGCTTTCCTTCATGGTGCTCTACATGAAGAGGTTTATATGACCTAACCACGAAGCTTTGTTCATCCTGAGTTCCCAAATCATGTTTGTAAGCTCATAAAGTCTCTATATGGTCTAAAGTAGGCAGCACGGGCTTGGTACATGGAACTCAGGTCCTTCCTCCAAACTTGTGGTTTTCGTAAATCCCAAGCATATGCCTCTCTAATAATTTATAATCACAACAACATCATCTGTTTCTTTATAGTCTATGTGGATGACGTTGTACTCACAGAAAATAATAATGCCTTTCTTACAAACTTCATTCATACCTCAGCAAATCTCTTCTCCATTAAAGATTTAGGTTCTCTCCACCATTTTTTTGGAATCGAAGTTATTCCCACTTCTCATGGCCTATTTCTGTCCCAACATGTCCCAACATGGCCTATTTCTGTCCCAACATGTCCCAACATGGCCTATTTCTGTCCCAACATCCCAACATCGACTCCACTAAACTCTTATACCATTCTCAACTCCATGAACGGGTCACGTAGTGTTGATCTTATACCTTATCGGAAACTAGTGGGCTCAATATAGTATTTGGCCTTCACACAGCCAGACGTATCGTTTTCCATTAATCAATTTGCCCGATTTATGCATGCTCCCACTCATGCTCCCACTCGGATTCATTGTCAAGCTTTGAAATGAGTTCTCCGCTACTTAAAGGGTACAACTCATCATGGGTTATTTCTCAAAAAGGGGAACTCTCTTAATCTCAAATCATTTTTGGACTCATATTGGGGAGGGGTCTAGAATGGAGGTCGTTCAACTACTGCTTACATACTTTATCTTGGCTCAAACATTATCTCTTGGAAATTGACACGACAAAAATATGTCTTAAGGTGATCCACTGAAGCTAGTATAAAGAATTAGCCAAGGCAACATCTGATGTATCGTGAGTGGAAAATCCTCTCAATGATCTTGGTATCACTCAAACCTCTTTGCCCACACTTTTTTTTGTGACAATATAGGTATCACGTACCTATGTGCTAACCCACTTTATCACTCTCAGATGAAACATGTTACATTAGACTACCACTTTGTCAGGGAAAGGTCGCAGACAGCTCTCTCAAAGCACTCCACATTAGCAGATGCCTTAACAAAGCCTCTTAATCGAGCACAATTTCTCAGACTTCGCTCCATGATTGGAGCATCCGACAAATCCTCCATCTTGCGGGGGCGTATTAAGGACCAAAGATACACATTGTAATTATACTGATATGTATCCCTAATTTCTCTCCTAGATTGATTCCTTCGTATTGTATTGATCGACTATATTAATCCAATACTTGTAATTGTTTATGTGTAAAAAATATATAGATACACATTCTATCTCCTTTACCTTTATACGACCACTATTTTAAATAAACACTACAAAGAAGGATATCCTAAATTTCAATACCCTACTGTTTTTCTGTACCGTTTTTTCTTGTCCATCCCTTTGTAGATTTGAAAACATAAACCACAGCCGCTATGCATCCACAACATCATCACGTGAAGCTTGTCGAGACCTAAAATCTTTAACATTTGTAATTTCAGGGGAAGAGGGTTGACTTTGTGTCTGCAAGTTCCTGTGTAACATAAGTGTTACATCATTCCTAGAACATTAGCCACACATTAACATTTGTAGTTTGAAAAACGATGATCAAATACAATTAAGAAATTTCTTATCTACTTCGTATCTCCAGCTTCATGAAATTAGGGTCGACCTAGAAATGATAAACGGCTAATGAAGATCTAACAACCATGTGCATGATTTTTAGTTTTCGACTCCTACCTTTTCTGCCCGATGCCAATGGTTTGTAACAAATGTGGATTAGAATCAACTTCAAGAGATGGAAGCATAAGTAATTTATACAACTGGTTTATTTTGGTGAATCGTGAATTAAGCTAATATAAAGATAATGGGCAACTCATTAGAGCGTGCGTTCATTAGATGAAGCTTCAACTTTAAATTGGTAAGAAACAGTGTCCGGATGTTAATAATACTGTATCCCTACAAAGTAATGTCACACATTAGCAAGTTAATAGAAAATAGAACAGAAGACGGCACTCTGGCCCATGAAAGCAGATAGTAGATGTTAGTCAATGGTTGACCAAGTTTTCAGGAGGGCAAGAGCACGTGGGTGACTGGAACGTTGGAACAGGGACGTTGCTATTTTTTCTCTTTTTCTGTTAATTAGCTCTATTTATTAGTTGTAGTTCAGTAAGTCATCATCAGTTGAAATTTCCTTGTACAGCAACTCGATCATTAGGTTGCTAGTCTTCATTCAATAAAAGTGAATCATTCGGCTGCCTATTTCCAATTTTACCCTTGTGAATTTTGTTCTTGTTTATTGTTCCATTGCTTGATCGCCAACATTTGGGATCAAAGCAAACAGATCCTAATCAATTGTATGCCCAAGTATCCTCGATTCAACAATATGACAGCCTCATCACCATCCAATCAGCCCAAAGATAATCCCTTTACTCTTCAATTCCCGATGCTGGCCTCACTAAACTACAACACCTGGTCAATTAAGATGGAAGCCATCATGGATGCCCATGGATTATGGGATGCCATTGAGCCACCAACCAGAGTGGTTGTGGATGAGAACAAGAGCAAGTAGGCTCGAGCTTTCATCTTCCAATCTATACCAGAGGAGATACTTGCACAGGCTGCCAAGAAAAAGACAACCAAGGAGGTTTGGGACTCTCTAAAGTCATGGTATGTGGGTGCAGAGAGGGCCCAAAACGCAAGGTTGCGGGTACTGAAAAGTGAGTTTGAAGCACTCCAAATGAAGGAAACAAAAACCATAGATGAATACGCAGGAAAGATCTCAACTATGATCTCTAAATTTAGGAGTGCAGGGGCAATATTGGGAGATGAAGAATTGGTAAGAAAGTTGTTTGATACAGTCCCAGAAAGGTTTATAAACCTGGTGGCATCGATTGAGCAAAGTTGTGACATGGAATCAATGTCATTTGAAGAAGCAATTGGGCATTTGAAGGCTTATGAGGACAGGCTCCGGCTCCGGAAGGCAAGCACACAGACATATGCTCTGCTACTTGCCAAGGCAGAAGGCTCATCAACCTACCGGAGTCCAAGCAAACCAAACTCTACAGGTGGTCGAGGAAGGGGCGGAAATAACAACCGGGGAGGAAGAGGCAGTTCACGAGGGCGAGGGTCGTCTCGGGGCAGAGGTGGGCGCTGGGGTGGTGACTCACGACAGGAAGCTAACAACTCCAACAAGAAGCCCCGTGATAAGAGTAACATAAGGTGCTTTGAGTGCCAAGAACTTGGCCACTTTGCATCTGAATGCAAGGAAAAGAAGCAGCACGACCAGGAGGTGAACCTGGCTGCAGATGAAGAAGGTCATGCCCTCTTACTAACTGTATGTGGGGAAGTGACATCAAGCATGGTGCTCCTGAATGAAGAAAAAGTCTACCCAAGTTAGTTAAAAGATAGTGAAGATGAGAACGTGTGGTACCTAGATAATGGAGCTAGTAATCACATGACTGGCTCCAAAGCTCTATTTGCAGAACTCAATGAGAATATAACGGGACAAGTACGATTTGGAGATGGGTCCAAGGTCCCAATCAGAGGAAAGGGCACTCTGTTGTTTGACTGCAAAAATGGTGACCAATTCATCATTCCAGATGTCTATTACATTCCAGCCCTTCACAACAACATAATAAGCCTGGGTCAGATGACAGAGGAAGGTTATGCTATAGGTATGAAGAGAGAATTCTTACGCATGTATGATGAAGAAGAGAGCCTGATTATGAAAGTGCAGAGGTCGAAAATCAGGCTATATAAGATAAAGCTGACACATGGAAGAGTCGTATGCTTATGCATGAGAATAGATGATGACTCATGGCGGTGGCATGCACGTATGGGCCACAAGAACTTCAGAACACTGGAAGAAATGGCACGTAAAGAAATGGTGACAGGTATGCCTCGGATTGCTCACCCATACCAAGTATGTGAGGGATGTATGATATCCAAGCAATCAAGACAAAGTTTTCCACAAGAGGCCCAGTGGGGAGCTAAGGACCCACTTCAGTTGCTACATGCGGATTTGTGCGGACCCATTACACCAGCGACCAAGGGAGGGAACCGATACATCCTCTTAATCGTGGATGATTACTCACGATATATGTGGGTGTACCTGATCAAGAACAAAGATGAAGCGTTTAGCATGTTCCAGAAGTTCAAATTACAAGTTGAGAAGGAAAGCAGCCATAAAATCAAGATGTTGAGAACTGACCGTGGAGGTGAATTCAATTCGAACCAATTCTAGGCTTTCTGTGAGCAGACAGGTATCAGGCGTCAATTGACCAGCCCACAACAAAATGGGGTTGTGGAACGTCGCAATAGAACGATCCTAGAGATGACAAGAGCGCTACTCAAGGCGATGGTTGTACCAGATCAATTCTGGGGTGAGGCGGTGAGGCACTCCGTGTACTTGCTGAACAGAACGGGCACAAAAGCGCTCAAGGATGTAACACCATACGAAGCCTGGAAGAAATCAAAGCCCTTAATTACACATTTGATGATTTTCGGATGTGTAGGATTCGTGAAAAAGCTGCGAGGTCTGAGCAAATTGAGTGATCGAAATGAAGCCATGGTGTATCTTGGAACGGAGGAAGGGACGAAGGGGTATCATATGTACGACCCCACTAATCGGCGTATTGTAATTGTAAGGGATGTGGTATTCGACGAGGGAAGGAGATGGGCCTGGAAGGAAGAACTTACGGGGGAGCCTTTTGCCACACCTTACTGGACCAATTATGTGGTCAACGTGACAGCCCAAACTCAACCAGCCCAAGACCAAGAGTCAACTGATGAAGTAATTGAAGAACCCTTGACGCCGTTAAACAACTCCTACCGTGACTATGCACCAGATAACTCGCAACCTGAAGATTCATCACGATCACGAACACCTGGAGTCGGCTCGCAATCAACTCCTACGACTCAATCCTCAAGAAACCAAGAAGGAGATCAGTCAGTGGTTTCTTTCGATGACACTCCAGCAAGGGGATTTCGGTCCCTCAATGATGTCTATGAGAACACAAGAAGGCTGAATGAAGTAGAGATACAAGAATTGTATGAAGAAAACCAGGAGCTACTGTTGGTTGATGATGAACCGACGTCGTACGAAGAAGCATCGGCTGAAAAGGATTGGAAGCAAGCCATGGAATCAGAATTGCAATCAATTGAAAGAAATAACACCTGGACTTTGACCAAATTGCCCCAAATCATAAGGCAATAAGGCTAAAATGGGTGTTCAAACTAAAGAGGGACGCTGCTGGTAACATAGTCAAACACAAGGCGTGACTGGTCGCTAAAGGTTACGTTCAAGAAAAGGGGATCGACTTCGAAAAAGTTTTCGCACCAGTGGCCCGCTTGGAAACCATAAGGCTGATCCTGGCGTTTGCAACGAAAGAGAACTGGCATGTGCATAACGTGGATGGCAACCGAATATGGGCTGATGTATCGCAAGGGCGGTGATGGAAAGCTCATTGGCTATAGTGACACCAGCTATAGCAATGATCGAGAGGATGGAAGAGGAACCACAGGAGTGGTTTACTATTATTCAGGGAATTTAATCACATGGACCTCACAAAAACAGAAAATTGTGGCTCTAAGTTCGTGTGAAGCTGAATATATGGCTGCAACCGCAGCTGCCTGTCAAGGACTCTGGTTAAGAAACTTGTTCAGTGACCTGGTTGGAAAGAAAGCACAAACGGTGAAGTTGTTCATCAATAATCAATCCACTATTGCCCTCATAAGAAACCCAGTCTTCCGTGGGAGCAGTAAGCATATAGACACCAAGTACCATTTCATCCGTATGTGTGTTGAAAGAGAGCAGATCCATGTGGAACATGTAAGTGGTGATCAACAAAAGGCTGATGTGTTGACCAAGGCAATGCCTCGAGTAAAGTTTGCTGAGATGAGAGCAATCATCGGTGTGGAAGACCTGAAGCTGAAGAAAGTAAACATTGAGGGGGAGAAATGTTAGTCAATGGTTGACCATGTTTTCAGGTTGGCAAGAACACGTGGGTGACTGGAACGTTGGAATAAGGACGTTGCTATTTTTTCTCTTTTTCTGTTAATTAGCTCTATTTATTAGTTGTAGTTCAGTAAGTCATCATCAGTCGAAGTTTCCTTGTACAGCAACTCAATCATTAGGTTGCTAGTCTTCATTCAATAAGAGTGAATCATTCGGCTGCCTATTTCCAATTTTACCCCTGTGAATTTTGTTCTTGTTTACTGTTCCATTGCTTGATCGCCAACAGTAGACGAGTGAGAGGTCAAGTCTTCACACTTTTTAATATTTGCAGCATCGTACACTTTACTTTCTTATATTTATTTACATAAGAATAATTGTATTTTTTTATTACATAAGAACAATTGTATTTGATATTTCAGAGTCAACCCGATGTGATTTCATTTTGATAGCACCGATACAAGACTTGCGAGACTTCTTCAATTGACAGGTTTTTGTCACGAGTTGGTTGAAGACACTTTGAAACAAGTTGAGCCAACTCGAATGCTCCCTTTGGAAGATGATTATTATGCTGAAGTTGTGGGTCTATAATCGTTCCCAAATTTACCTTATTCGTTAGCAATGGAGTAGCCCATTCCATCAAAATTTTCTGTTCAAGAGGTATCCTTTCATCATACTTCTTCATCCCTGTTAGCATTTTCAGCAGTACTACTCCGAAATCATAGATCTCAGTATGCACTCCAGTTTCTGCCAGAGAGGTGTTTGATTGGTCAGTTGATAATCTTTCCACAAATAACTCATAAATGAGTTCTTAGAAACGTTCATGTCTTCAAGTTTTAATGCATGTGTTTATATATATATGTATATATATATATATATATATATATATATATATATTGTAACGCCCTTGGTTTAGAAACAAATAAAAAAAATAAAAGCTACCCCTTGTTTTTAGAAAATGAATGTATACATATGCATATAAAATGGTGTTATAAGTCTACAACTTTTACAAGGGAATTAGCTAAGATGCTTGTACTTGTACTATAAAAGGACTTGAGAAACTATGGGGAACACTAAAGGAATGTTTGTTTTAGAAGAATCTTATAAATTTTATTTAAAAAGAAAAATTGAATGTAAGCAATCAAGTACATAACTTCAATAACACCAAATATGCTATATATAACTGTCATAATAAGTGCAATGTTATATGTCTAGATTAACCTTTAAAGGAGGGGGGAGGGAGGAAGGTTGGGTCCAAAAAAGAGCATATCATCTCCGGGTAAATACAGATTATCAAATGACAAAAAAGAATACTTCAATGACTCAAAATGGGGAAAAAAAATAAAGGTTTGACATGAGACTGAGACTAGACCAATAATTCAATGGAGTGTTTCAACATTTTCCCATATATATTGAGAATGTACAGAAAACTTTATTTTTACAAAAGAACATACCATCTCCGGGCACAGGTCCAAAAATACCATCCAATTTGTCTTTTTCAAAAGTAGAGCAGCCAGGTGGGGCAAGTAAATTGTCTATTTCATAATCCGAAAGCCGAGCATTAAAATCTTAAAAATAAGCAAGAAAAGAAAAACTAAAAATTGTTTTACTTCTTCCATGCAAAATGCAAGCAAGTCAAAGGCAGTCTACATTACCCTGTCCACCAATATATGATTGCCCTCAAAATTGTTATAAGCTCGTATACCCAAAACATAGTTACATTAGCCAAGCAATATCCCAAGAGTCTGGTAATATTGGGATGACAAAAATCTAATAGTTTCAAGTCCAACTGCACATCCAAATTGCCAATGTATTTCAGTGCCTTAATATATAAGCTACAAAAGATCACAAAGCATGAAAAATACAAGGTCTACTAACTTTGCTATCCAAAATAAGTCCCATGTCATCATTTTACATATTGAAAGTACCTTCCAGGTTAGAATATCCTCCTTCCTAACATATATTGCCAAACCAACACCAGATTCTGTACGACCATATGACTTTTCATCAACCCAACCTTTCTAAATGGATCCATTAGAAGTTGGAGAACGCTCCATGTCTTTGAAATCATTTGTTATACTTACCAACTCATCGTATGTGAATGTTATGATACTTCATGTTGTAGATTTCTGGATATGGTGAGCACTATAATCAGATTTGCTAACGAATTTACCATCCTGCTTCACAGATTTGCATCAAAATCTGAAATTTTAGCTGCAAAGTTTGCATCCAACAAAATATTGGACGTCTTCACATCGTGATGTATAACTCCATTTTGTGTTGATGTACCTGTGTGAAGGTAGTCTAATCCCCGAGCTGCACCTACGCATATCTTGAGTCGTTGAAACCAAGATAATGTGGAATCAGCTTTGCAAAGATGATCTTTAAGTGTCCTATTGGGCATTAACTCATAAGCTATGAACATCTTGTTGAACACGAATCTTTGTATGGGAGACAACAAGAATTTTATTAAGACACTTAAGAAGACCTTACACTTTGTGAGACTACTACACACTTTGCTTTCTTTGAGGCTTTCTTGGATGGTTTGGAGCAAATGAGCTCCACACCTATTTATAGGCCTCTTAGGAAGGTTCTAGATACTAGTATACACTTACTACATACTAGATAACTCTAGAACTATCTAACATACTCTATATGCTTCCATATGTTTCTAGAATATTCTACCATGTTCTGGAGAGGTTTAGGTTGCTCTAGTGTCTTCTAGAATGATCCATAACCTTCCAGGGTCTTCCATGTCGTTTTAGAGTATTCTAGACTCTTCCGGTATATTCCGGAGTCTTCCATAGTCTTCCATAATGTTCTAGAATATTCTAGAGCGTTCTAGAACAAGCTAAAGTCTTCTAGATAATATTTGTTCTATTGGGCTAGTGATGATCTTTAACACTCCCCCTCAGCACTAGCCCTCATTCTTCGTACCATGTTAAGCTGACAGCGAAAACCTTCACATTTTCCAATACTCAGTCCTTTGGTGAACAAGTCTGCTATTTGGTCATCGGTCTTGATCTGTCGCATCTCAATTTCTTCCATCAAGACTTTCTCTCTGATAAAGTGATAATGCACTTCCACATGCTTTGTTCTAGCATGAAATACTGGATTTTCTGCCAGCCGAATTGCAGATTGGTTGTCGTAGTGAAGTGGTACCGCATAGTAAACTTTTTGATGTAAGTCCTTCATTAGGAGTACCAACCATGTACTTTCTTGAGCTGCTACGGCCGCTGCTTTGTACTCCGCTTCTGTGGTTGACAATGATATGGTTGGTTGTCTTTTACTACACCATGATATTGGCCCCGACCCAAGCTTGAACACATACCCAGTGGTTGATCTTCGGGTATCATGATGTCCTGCATAGTCAGCATCACAATATCCAACCAACTTGCAGTCTTCTCCTTTTTTATACAAGAGACCATAGTCAATTGTACCTTTGACATATCTTAAGATCCGTCTGGCAGCATCCAAATGAGGTTTCTTCGGACTTTGCATGTATTGACTCATAACTCCAACTGCATAAGCAATGTCAGGCCGAGATAAAGTTAGGTAGATAAGACTACCTACTAGTTGTTGATACATCGTTCTGTCGTCCAACTCTTTTCCTTCATGAGCACATATCTTGGCATTTTGCTCTATTGGTGTTGATATTGGCACTCCAACATGCCAAACTTTTGAAGTATATCTCTTGTATACTTTTGTTGGCAGAGGAACAACCCTTCCTTTGTACGATCAACTTCTAACCCCAAGAAGTGTTTAAGCTCCCCCAGCTCTTTCATTTGGAATCACACCGATAGATTTTATCTTGTTTGATGGATTTCTCTTTCGTCATCCCCGGTGATGATCAAGTCATCCACATAAACCAACACAATTGCCAACTTCCCTTCTTTTTCTTTGACGAACAGGCTTGAGTCTGCATGTGCAACTGAATAACCACTTCGGGTAAGAAATTCAGCAATCTTACCATACCAGGCTCTTGGTGCCTGCTTCAATCCGTAAAGAGCTTTTCTCAGCTTGCACACATGAGTGGGATTAACTGCATCCTCAAATCCATTTGGTTGGTTCATGTAGATCTCCCGATCTAATTCTCCATGCAAGAAAGCATTCTTCACATCCATCTGCCATAATTTCCAGTCTTTACTAGCTGCAAGAGCTAGCAGCACCCGTACAGTAGTTATCTTCGCCACTGGACTAAATGTTTCATCATAGTCCAGTCCATATTGTTGTGAGAACCCTCGAGCCACCAAACGAGCCTTGTATCTTTCAATTGATCCATTTGTGCGTCGCTTTAATTTATAAACCCACTTGCAGGAAATGGGTTTTATATCTCTTGGTCTTGGTACCAGTTCCCACGTTTGATTCTGCTTTAAGGCTGTAACTTGTTCTTCCATTGCCTTCTGCCAAGCTTTATTCTTAATTGCTTCTTCATATATGTCTGGCTCTTTAACACCGTCTTCTAAAATGGCCGCATTAGCATACTTGGGATTAGGCTTTCGGATTCTTTCCGTCCTTCGAAGTTGTGGTGGCGGCGTCTCCCTTTCACCGGCATCACTTGTTTGAGTTACTTCTTGCTCAATGACATCGGTGTCGCTCGGATCTTCAGGTGTATCAACACTTGACCAAATGTGTGCAGTTTGCTCCCCCATCTTTTGTTTTAAAACTTCTTCAATATTTTCCGAGTCTGGTAATACTTTCTTCTCTGAGGACCACCATGAAGATGCTTCATCGAACACTACATCTCTTGAAGTGTAGCATCTTCCGCTTGTTGGATCACAACACCTCCATCCTTTTCTTTGATTGTCATATCCAACAAATATACACCTGACTGCTTTCTTGTCAAACTTGCTACGTAGATGACTAGGTACAAATACGTAGCAGACGCAACCAAATACTCGGAAGTAGCTAACAGTAGGTTTCATGTTCCATAGTGTCTCAAATGGTGAGATGAAACCTAACCTTGGTTGGGGAAGTTTATTGATCACATGGGCAGCAGTTTGCATTGCTTCAGCCCAAAATCTTCCTAGGACATTCTTCGCGTGTAGCATGCTTCGACAAATTTTTGCAAGATGTCGATTCTTTCTTTCAGCTACACCGTTTTGTTGAGGTGTGTTGGCACATGTGAATTGATGACGTATACCACATTCTTTTAGATAGCGATTGAATTCTTCCGAGGTGTATTCTCGTCCATTGTCTGAGCGTAGACACCGAATCTTCTTTCTCACTTCTCCTTCGACCGTTGTCTTGAATTCTAGAAACTTTGAGAATGTTTCAGATTTTTCTTTCATGAAGAAAACCCACACATATCTCGAATAATCATCAATGAACGTCACCATGTACCGCATCCCGCTAATTGATGTCTGCTTGACTGGACCGAACACATCCGTGTGAATTAACTCTAGTGGCTTCTTTGCTCTAAAATTTGACTCTTTGTATGGTAATTGATGAGCTTTACCATACTGACATCCAGCACAAACAACATCTGTTTTAACTTCAAGTTGAGGTAAGCCACTGAGCATGGATTTCTCCATTATTACCTTCAACTTGTGATAACCAACATGTCCCAGCCGTGCATGCCATAGATCTGCTGTCTCGTTCTTACGAGTCTTGTCTACATAGGCAGACTCTGCGGAGAGCTCATAGACGGACTCCACTCTCCGTCCTTCCATTGTTCGCTTTTCTGATATTTTAAGATCTCGATAGACCTTCACATCTTGTGGGCCAAACAAGACATAGTTGCCTGACGATGTTAGTTGCGATACCGACAACAAGTTCTTCTTCATACCTGGCACGTGATAGACATTATGTAGTGACACCATGCCAGATTTATTACCAGGCATGATCGTCGTTTTTCCAATCTGAGCAATTGGAAGTCGTGCATTGTTGGCTGTAAGTACCATGCGACTCCCTTTGTACTCCTTCACGTCTCGTAGTTTGTTCTGATCGCCAGTCATGTGATTGGAGCATCCTGAATCAATGATCCAGTCATTCTCATAGTTGATACGCTCTCCCATCATTGTCATGAGTGCCAACTCGTTTTCTTCTATGGCACATAATTCCTCAGCATCCCATTCATCCTCTATTTCCATTTTGGAAGTTACGACATTGCTTTCCACAAACTTTTTCTTTGACCAACAATCCTTGGACATGTGGCCCCACTTTCCACAATTGTTGCAGTTGCCTTCGAACCTCCTCCCCCGAGAACTCTTATTGTCGGTCTTTTGAGATCTCCATGGTTGTGAGGTTCCTGGCTGACTCTTCCCTTTGTCAGCTTTTTTGTATCCTTCTTTAGAAGGTGGCTTGAAATTCCTCCGACTTTTACTTGTGCAGAGTGCTTCTTCTTCACTCTTCAGCGTGATGCCTCCCATTTGCTTAGCTATAGCTTCTTGGCTGGCCAACAAATTCTCAAACTCTACAAGTGATGGTTGAACGGGCCATCCTTGTACAGTAGTAACAAAGCTTCTATATTCCGGCCTCAGTCCATGGATAATGATCCTCTTCATTCGAGCTTCTGCAATGACGGATTGCGGATCTAGTTCAGTAATCTCCCGACATATCGACTTGACCTTGTGGAAATATTGAGCAATCGTCATGTCACGTTGCGAGATTGATAATAGCTCGTTCTCCAAAAGTTGTAGTCTCGTATCATTCTTCTTTGAGAAAAGTGTCACAAACGTGTCCCAAGCTTCTTTCGGTGTGTTCTCGTCCCGAATATGCTCCAACATCTCTTCTTCGATTGTGGTCTTCAAGGCAAACATTGCTTTGCCTGCTTTGATTTTCCATTTGCGCAAGGCGCCATTAACGTCTTCCTCTGGTGGCGTAGTTTCGATTCCACCAATGACCTCCCATAGATCTTGTCCTTGTAAGTAGGACTTCATACATGTTTCCCATGTTTTGTAGTTGTTGTTGTTGAGTTTCTTGATTCCTCCGACGACTTGGAGATCACCCATCGTGTTGGCAGTACCTCGGTAATACCAAACAAGCTAGTTTCGATACCGAACTTTCAGAGTCACAGACTACTCACGATACAAAGAGAATCACTCGTTCTCACTATCAAGAAACCTTGCTCTGATACCAGATTGTTGAACACGACTCTTTGTATGGGAGACAACAAGAATTTTATTAAGACACTTAAGAAGACCTTACACTTTGTGAGACTACTACACACTTTGCTCTCTTTGAGACTTTCTTGGATGGTTTGGAGCAAATGAGCTCCACACCTATTTATAGGCCTCTTACGAAGGTTCTAGATACTAGTATACACTTACTACATACTAGATAACTCTAGAACTATCTAACATACTCTATATGCTTCCATATGTTTCTAGAATATTCTACCATGTTCTGGAGAGGTCTAGGTTGCTCCAGTGTCTTCTAGAATGATCCATAACCTTCCAGGGTCTTCCATGTCGTTCTAGAGTATTCGAGACTCTTCCGGTATATTCCGGAGTCTTCAATAGTCTTCCATAATGTTCTAGAATATTCTAGAGCGTTCTAGAACAAGCTAAAGTCTTCTAGATAATATTTGTTCTATTGGGCTAGTGATGATCTTTAACACATCTCATTTCCTTCATTGCAATAACCAACCAGAGATACAAAGATTACCATGCCGCAGCTTAGAAAGAACCTTAACTTCCGCCTCAAATTCATGGGCCCCTTGGGTGGACAAGGAGTGAAACCTTTTAACTGCAACTTCACTTACTAACCCCATATTGATGGGACATTTATACACATTGTCGAATTCTCCATGCCCTATGACCAAAGTCTCGTCAAAGTTGTTGGTTGCCAATTGAATTTCGGCAAGAGTAAACTATTGACATGTCTGCTCTCCCAGTAGGAGTGAGGAGTTGGTATTCGTGATAGGTACATCTGACATTCTCGGGCACCGGGCCTGGGCCTTTGATTCTACACGATACCACTTCTATCTGAAACTGAGCTCCAGATTTGCGGATGAACAACTGATAGTTTTGTGTGGTTCTTGTGCGGTTAGTTACGCCTAATTTTTGTACTAGAATCAGAAAACACAGAATTCAAATTCCAATCCCAACTACCAATTTTGAGAATCATGTGTTTCTAAATTGTCTTTAACGAACCCTAATTAAAGAGCTAGTGGTTTTGTTGATGACTTGTTGTTCTATATACAGGGTCGAAGAAAGGATTAATGGTAGGTTGTTTGTCTTCTTGCAATGTTCATGTTGAGAGTAGAGACAACTAGGAGAAAAAAAAAGGAGAGGATTACGAGGTGAGTGAAAAATGTTCCAAAACCTGGTTGAACTCGACGGAAACCCAACTCGATACCTCATGATTCCAGGCCGCTTGTTGACTTTCTGTTCATATGTTTCCCCCGTCCAAAAATTGGTCACCAGATGGATTCATCCGGGTGTCGGCATTGCGCTCAGTAGTTTTAATAGAATTCTAGCATAAATTACGAAGGACTCCATCTATTCATATCTTGATAATTGAATCTGGGCAAGATTAAACCGTTGACATGTCTGCTCTCCCAGTACAAGTGAGGAGTTGGTATCGTTGATATCAGGCACGGAGCCTTTGATTCTTCACGATACCACTTCTATCCAAAACAGAGTTCCAGACTTGCAGCAATTCCAATTTCAATCCCAACCACCAGTTTAAATAACCTTGTTTTATAACTCGGTGTTAATCATACCATTTCAGTTAGAATTAGTTGAGGTTCTGTTAGTAGTTTGTTAGAAGGGTAGTTTAGTAATTTCTGCTTAATTAATCAGTTGCTCTGGTTTGTGTCTGTACATAAGTATATGTTTAGTTCTTTTTTATCAGTAATGAATACAGAGAAAATCATGAACGTCTCTCTCTATCATTGGATACCCTTTCGGTCAAAAGGCTTACAAAGTATTGAATCTTAACAAGATTCATGTTTCAAGAGATGTTAAATTTTTTTGAACATCTTTTTCCTTTACATGCCCTTCATCCAGCTCCCTCATCTTCTTCTTTACCTTCATATATTCCCAAAGTTCCATCAGATAATGAGCATTTTCATGAACCTCAACCTGCATCTCCAAATGACAATTCTAATACAGCTGATATTCCATCTGTTTCACAAGTTCAACCAAGAAGATCTACACGTTCACATGTTCCCCCAATACACTTACAAGATTATGTATGCAACGCTGCATTCACATCTGATCCCAATTCATATTGTTGTCACACTATTACTAATTTTTGCATTGGAGTTGTTCCCATTCCAGCCACTTGTCATTTAGCCTTTCACATGTCTAATGTTTACAATGTGGCAAGCTTTAAGACTGAGCTTGCATTTCATCACCAAGCAAAAGGAGTCCCTGAATGGGAAGAAGCTATGCAACATGAACTCAATGCCTTAAATGCTAATGGAACATGGGATATAGTAAAGCTTCCTAAAGGAAAAAAGCCAATTGCTTGTCGTTGGGTCTACAAAATCAAACATCGATCTGATGGTTCTATTGAGCGTTATAAGGCACGCCTAGTAGCTAAAGGGTTTACCCAAAAAGAGGGGATAGATTTTCACGAAACATTTTCTCCTGTGGTCAAATTTACCACTGTCAGAAGTATTGTTGCTATTGCTGTTAAACGCAAGTGGGATATTCATCAATTTGATGTAAATAACGCCTTCCTACATGGCGATTTACATGAG